CTCGTCCCTGCCTCCCTAACCTGTTCTTCCTCCCACCTATCCCCTCCTCCCACCTCAAGCCGCACCTCCATCTCCTACCGACCAACCTCATCCCGCCCCCTTGACCTGTCCGTCCTCCCTGGACTGACCTATCCCCTTCCTAACTCCCTACCTACACTCACCTTTCCTGGCTCCATCCCCGCCTCTTCGACCTGTTTGTTTCCTCTCCACCTATCCTCTCCTCTATCCCTCTTCTATCCGCCTCCCACTCTCTCCCTATTTATTTCAAAACCCCCTTCCCCTCCCCCTTTTCTGATGAAGGGTCTAGGCCCGAAACGTCAGCCTCTCTGCTCCTATGATGCTGCTTGGCCTGCTGTGTTCATCCAGCCCTGCACCTTGTTGTCCCACTAAGTAGTAATCTTTTTCGGAATTTTTCTGGAGTCAAAGTCAAAGGAATAAATCAGATTGGCAAATACCTCCCCTTAATTCCCATTATTTCAAAAGAAGGTACCAGCAAACAACACAACACATTATACAAAGGATGCATTGGGAGTTTATAGAACATAAACCACAAACATGACATCAAATGTTACATAACTGAACATCACAGGTGAGGAATTTCAAATATAATGTATTTCCCCAAGCAATTTTTTTGGTATATATGTATCTAAAATAGAAATACATCTCAATAGTTTGGCATTTACTTAATTTCATTTTAATGTATAGCATTTAAATGTGGGAGATGCACATAAGGCCCAGTTCAGATTACTGACTTTAGTATATTTGTTAACAGGTCTTCATAATTAAAATCAATTAGTTTTACTGATCTTCCAATTCAAAACCATAATTTGTATTCTACATATCATGTAACCGATGTATTCGACTCATAGACGATGATGAGGATGATTACCATTTACTGATGGATTTCCAGCAGCATTTTTAAGTTTTTCTTCAAAAGGATGATAAATTTGTCTTACACGTGCTAAAGGACAAAATAGTTGGTCTGCTGGTGGTAAGTCTTCCCACTTGATCCACTCCCAACCTAGAATAAAGACAGGCTTATGTGAAACTTATGTTGTTAACAGGTACTTAATTGAATGGGAAAAACTTGCATGTCTTGATAAGAGGTGTTATTAAAGCCCAAGTTCAATGGTTTTCAGATTTGATGCTGAAACAGCTGAAAAAAATTCTTTATGTCTAAGAAGGAGCAGAAACCCTGAATGTTTCAGCTTCAAATTCAAACTACCTCAAACTCTACACCCATTTGTAGGATTCCAATTTGGCAAATGTGAGTAAATTAATGTCTATAGATTGAAAATTGCAAACATTGCTCCATTATTTAAGAGTTATCAAGTCTCCAGCGGAGAGGTGATTTAATTCCATTGCTCCAGTTGTTGGATGAGTGATTCTGAAGCCATCTTAATCCTAAAGAGCCTTTCAAGATAATCATTACTTGCTGTAACCAGTAATTGATAAGACATCTGCACAATACTGCATTTGCACTTGAACTGACTGAAGTTGCTGCTTCAAACAAAATCATATTACCACATCCTATTTCATCATGCTTTTTACTCCATAAAACTCCCATGTTGTGATGCAATGAAAACAAAACTAGAATAAAATTTAGGGCAATACGGCATTTAACTGATTATACATTCATCTTTGGAGTCAGTTTTGCAATGTGTTTATGCAGCTCATAAAACACTTGAAAAACTAATGTACCCATGCTTCCTAAACATTTTTCCACTGTGACCCCATCTTGGGACTTGAAAATTGTCCTGATTCCTTGGTGAGTGGTGGGGGTAGAGGAGAATACCAATGAGAGCAGGGAGACAGGAGTCAAGTATTGCAGAGGAGGTCAGGACCCCAAAGATTCAGCTTACGACTCAACCCCCCACTTTGAGAATACCCAGAATACATGCACATTGACAATCAATTGTGTTACCATCACTGAATTCCTCACTATCAACATCCTAGGGGTTATCATTGACCAGAAATTTAACTTGACTCACCATAGGAATATAGCGGCTACAACAGCAGGTCAGGCTAGGAATACTGTGGCGGGTAACTTCCCTTCTGATTCCCCAAAGCCTGTCCACAATCTACAAGGCAAAAGTCAAAAGTTCGATGGTAATAACTCCCCACTTGCCTGGATAGGTGCAGCTCCAACAATACTCAAAGGAAGTTGACACCATCCAGGATACAGCAAGCTGCTTGATTGGCTCCACCTCCACAAGCCTCAATTCCCTCCTACACCAATGCGCTCAGTACACCATCTGCAAGATGCACTACAGAAATTCACCAGAGACCCTCAGACAGCATTTTCCAAACCCATGAACAATGGCAGTAGATACGTGGGAATACCACCACATGCAAATTCCCCTCCAAGTCACTCACAATCCTGACTTGGAAATATATCACCATTCCTTCACTGTTGCTGGGTCAAAGGCCTGGAATTCCCTCCCTATGGATGTTGTGGGTCTACCTACAGCTCATGGACAGCAGCGGTTCAAGAAGACAGCTCACCACCATCTTCTGAAGAGCAAGTAGTGATGGGCAATAAATGATGACCCACTCACTGATACCTATGTCTCATAAGTGAATTTAAAAAAAACGTAGCATTCAACTGAACTCAAAGTTCCAGACAGATTCAAGTACAAATCAATGGGGGAAGAATCAACATAAATATATGTTTATATCAGTACCAAAGTGTTTATTACACATCAAAACATTTTCACAGTGTAATTTAAACTGCTTCTTTTGGTGAGTTGACAAATTAAGCTTTACTGCATTGGGTGATTAATGCAATGGGAGAAAATACTCCAGCAAAGTTTTCTGCTTGTTCTGTAGAAATATGTCAGTGACTCACAGTAATGTTATAAGTAACTTTAATACTGAAGCTAGAATTGCAGTAATGACTTGTTCTGGAGAATTACTTTTATCTTGAAGTCAGAAGTTAATACAACATATCATTATTCTTTGGCAGTCCCTCACGACAAAGAATGATTTCATTATAAAGCACGTCGCATTCTCTTTGATAGTAGGAACTGCAGATGCTGGAGAATCTGAGATAACAAGATGTAGAGCTGGATGAACACAGCAGGCCAAGCAGCATCAGAGGAGCAGGAAAGCTGACGTTTCGGGTCCAGACCCTTTTCCAGAAATGGGGAGGCGAAGAGGATTCTGAAATAAATAGGGAGAGAGGGGAAGGCGCATAGAAGATGGATAAAGGAGAAGATGGGTGGAGACGAGACAGACAGGTCAAAGAGGCGGGGGTGGAGACAGTAAAGGTGAGTGTAGGTGGGGAGTTAGGGGGGGATAGGTCAGTCCAGGGAGGACGGACAGGTCAAGGGGGTGCGATGAGGCTAGTAGGTAGGAGATGGGGGTGGGGCTTGACATGGGAGGAGGGAATAGGTGGGAGGAAGGACAGGTTAGGGAGGTGGAGACAAGCTGGGCTGGTTTTGGGATGCAGTCAGGGGAGGGGAGATTTTGAAGCTTGTGAAGTCCACGTTGATACCATTGGGCTGCAGGGTTCCCAAGCGAAGTGCTACACCTGTCCCTACACCTCACCCCCATCCCAGGCCCCAAGAAGACCTTCCACATCAAACAGATGTTCACCTGCACATCTGCTAATATGGTATACTGTATCCGCTGTTCCCGATATGGCCTCCTCTACATCGGGGAAACCAAGTGGAGGCTTGGGGACTGCTTTGTGGAACACCTACGCTCGGTGCGCAACAAACAACTGCACCTCCCAGTTGCGAACCATTTCAACTTCCCCTCCCACTCCTCAGACGACATGTCCTTCCTGGGCCTCCTGCAGTGCCACAACGATGCCACCCAAAGGTTGCAGGAACAGCACCTCATATTTTGCTTGGGAACCCTGCAGCCCAATGGTATCAGTGTGGACTTCACAAGCTTCAAAATCTCCCCTCCCGACCACATCCCAAAACCAGCCCAGCTTGTCTCTGCCTCCCTAACCTGTCCTTCCTCCCACCTATCCCCTCCTCCCACCTCAAGCCCCACCCCCATCTCCTACCTACTAGCCTCATCCCATCCCTATGACCTGTCCGTCCTCCCTGGACTGACCTATCCCCCCCAACTCCCCACCTACGCTCACCTTTACTGGCTCCACCCCCGCCTCTTTGACCTGTCTGTCTCCTCTCCACCCATCTTCTCCTTTATCCAGAGATAGTAGGAACTGCAGATGCTGGAGAATCTGAGATAATAAGGTGTAGAGCTGAATGAACACAGCAGGCCAAGCAGCATCAGAGGAGCAGGAAAGCTGACGTTTTGGGTCGAGACCCTTCAGAAGGTTTTCTGAAGAAGGGTCTAGACCCAAAACATCAGCTTTCCTGCTTCTCTGATGCTGCTTCACCTTTATCCATCTTCTATCTGCCTCCCCCTCTCTCCCTATTTATTTCAGAATTCCCTTCCCCTCCCCCATTTCTGAAGGGTCTAGACCCAAAACGTCAGCTTTCCTGCTCCTCTGATGCTGCTTGGCCTGCTGTGTTCATCCAGCTCTACATCTTGTTATCTCGCATTCTCTTTGATATTGTTTATGAATAAAAGATGCTGAGAGGAGATAAGATGGTCCTAGGCTGTGAATGGATTTACAATCTTGCTCTAGTTACTTGTAAAAAATCAGAATTTAATGTTATAAATTTACCTTCATTCTTCTGAGGTTCTAGGTTCTTTGGCTCTGAATCATAATCCATATTGACTTCTCCTTGCATGAAAATTGTGACGTAGTGATAATTTTCTTCTAACTTGATACTATTTACAACTGCAGCAAAGCCCACATTCTTCATGTGAAGCCCTGTCTCTTCCAGAACTTCCCGCTTAGCACAGTCTTCCCAGCTTTCTCTATTTAAAAATAAAGTTTTTAAAAAGTCATGTCGACGACACAAGTCCTCAAACACTTCAAACCTATAAATGGTGTCTAAAAACAAGTGCTAGTGTGGTGTAAACAAAGAGGGCCCAGGAATAATTTCAAATTTTCATGTACATTGAAAGATTTGCTGCATAGATGGAGTCTATTCAGCCCACTGTTTCCATGCTTGTTAATTTTCTTCTGATCAAACTGCACTATAAACTGTACTCTTGTTTCCCCTCCTGCCCCTGTAAGTCAAGGAAAATATCATAAATAAAACTGAAAGATATAGCATGTTGGTGTTCTAATATTTGCATCAATGACAAAATCAATTAGGGATGGGCAATAAATGCTGCCTGGCCAGCGACGCCCACATCCCATGAATGAATAAATAAAAAAAGCAAAATACAGTGGATGCTGGAGGTTTGAAATAAAGACAAAGTGCTGCAGAAGTCCATTGGCAACATTTGTGAAAAGAGAAACAGTAAATAGCTCAAGTCCCACATGACTCTTCTTCACAAGCACTGAGCTTCCCCAACCCTTAAGTTTATTTGCATCTATGATACTCAATTGGTATTTTCCTGCTTAAGAAACGTACTGAGACTACTTCACATCAGCTCCAAGGTCATTCTTGAGCTGACTGCCGAGTATATGGTGCCTTAATTAGGCAATGAATTCTAGCTCCTTTGCCCCTCCGTTCTTCAATTATTCATTGCTAATGACAAAAAAATGTATGAATGGAAAAATCATTGTGATGCACCACATCAGTATACAAAGACTGTAAACTCCCTCAATTCTGTAATCCCAAGTGTAAACAGTAAAAGGATAATCAAAAGGAAGGGCGATCCTAGAATGAGACCTCTTGTGGCACTAAGTGAATATTTTGCACCTATCATCACCAGAACAGGATGCAGTAAAGCCGTAGTTGTAGTTATAAAGATAGAATAAAAATAGAGGCGGTAAGCACAAGGTTGACAATACTCAATACCATTGCAAATGGGGGGCATTTTCGGGCTCCGAGGGATGCAGGGGTGGAAACTGAGGAGGCTTTGAACACAGTCTTCCTTGGAAGTAGGGTTGCTGCTAGAGAAGATTATCAAACCGTTGAGACGAATCATCAGAGTTTAATGACTGATTCCAACGACTAATATACATCGCATTTTGAATGCAACCTAAGTCAGCATACAATAATTTGTTAATCATTTCTGAAAAGGAAACTAATTAAGATACGAGAAAGAAGGTAAACTCTGCATCACACAGAGCAGATCCCCGCACTTGCTACAAAGTGATCATCATTAATCTGGCAGAGAGGAGACTGTACCCGAACTCCAGGTGGCCCCCGGGCAGCTGGAAAGTACCTGCTCCGATTGAGCCTTTCCTTTTCCCAAGAAGAACACAGCCCGGCTGCTCCCGGCAGGTCACCACAACACCTACTCCTACGGCCGGCCGCCGGACCGGAGGACATTCAGAGTTGGCCATGTGAACGAAGAGCAGGACAGCAAACAGCACCGACCGTTAACTAACTGACAGCTGCTGCTCCGGGGTCCGTGCGGCGCGCCTGCGCAGACCCGGACAGGGCCAGCCAGCGATGGATCGTGCGCATGCGCGGCCGCCGGAGGCGCCGTGTTTGGAAACGCGTGAGACTCAGCCTCACTCACGCGAATCGACCGTTCGGCTCACCCAGCCCTTTTCTAGCTATTCAATCCAATCACTGATCTCCAAACCTTCTTGAACACAACAACAAAAACAAAGTTGCTGGAAAAGTCCAGCAGATCTGGCAGCATCTGTGAAGGAAAAAACAGAGTTAACGTCTCGGGTCCGTTGGGAAATTGTCAAAACGGGGTCATCATCAGGCCTGTAACCGAACCTTACAGCGACCGGAAACATCCACTCCTATCCGACCTAAAGTGGCCTGCTTTGGCATGTTTTTTTCATTCATTCTTTGAGTATGGGCGTCGCTGCCTAGGCAGCATTTATTGCCCATCCATAATTGCCCAGAGGGCAGTTAAGAATCAACCATATTGCTGTGGGTCTGGAGTCACATGTAGACCAGACCAAGTAAGGATGGCAGTTTCCTTCCCTAAAGGATATTCGTGAACCAGATGGGTTTTTCTGACAATCAGCAATGGATTCATGGTGATCACTGAATCATGTCTGGCATCACTATCCCTGGATATGTCCTGTCTCACTGGCAGGACAGACCCAGCAAAGGGGGGCAGCACAGTGGTATACAGTCGGGAGGGAGTTGCTCTAGGAGTCCTCAACATTGACTCTGGACCCCAATAAGTTTCATGGCTTCAAGTTAAACATGGGCAAGGAAACCTCCTGCTGATTACCACATACTGTCCTTTCTCAGCTGATGAATCAGTACTCCTCAATGTTGAAAAACACTTAGAGGAAGCGCTGAGGCTCCAGAACTTGCCGCTCCCCTAGCCAAGCTGTTCCAGTATAGTTACAACACTGGTATCTACCCGACAATGTGGAAAATTGCCCAAGTATGTCCTGTACACAAAAAGCAGGACAAATCCAACCCGGCCAGCTACTGCCCCATCAGTCTACTCTCATCAGTAAAGTGATGGAAGTTGTCATCAACAGTGCTATCAAGCAGCACCTACTCAGAAATAACCTGCTCAGTGACGCCCAGTTTGGGTTCCACCAGGGCCACTCAGTTCCTGATCTCATTATAACCTTGGTTCAAACATGGACAAAAGAGCTGAATTCCAGAGGTGAGGTGAGAGTGACAGCCCTTGATATCAAGGCTGCACTCGATTGAGTGTGGCAAAAAGGAGCCCTGGCAAAACTGGAATCAATGGGTATCAGATGGTTGGAGCATACCTGACACATAGGAAGATGTTCGTGTTTGTAGGAGGTCAATCATCTCAGCTCCAGACATCTCTGCAGAAGTTCCTCAGGGTAGTGTCCTAGGCCCAACCATCTTCAGCTGATGGACCTTCCCTCCATCATAAGGTCAGAATTGGGGATGTTCGCTGATGATTGCACAATGTTCAGCAGCATTCGCGACTCCTCAGATACCAAAGCAGTTCATGTTCACATGCAACAAGATCTTGACAATATCCAGGCTTGGGCTGACAGGTGGCAAGTGACATTCACGCCACACAAATTCCTGGCTATGCCCATCACCAAGAAGAGACTATCTAACCACTGCCCCTTGACATCCAATGGTGTTACCATCACTGAATCCCCCACTATCAACATCCTGGGGGTTACCATTGACCAGAAACTCAATTGGACTCACCACATTAACAGAGTGGCTACAATAGCAGGCCAGAAGCTGGGAATACTGCGGCAAGTAACTCACCTCCTAACTCCTCAAAGCCTGACCACCATCTACAAGCCACAAGTCAAGAGTGTGATGGAGTACTCCCCACTTGCCTGGATGAGTGCAGCCCCAACAACACTCACCATCCAGGACAAAGCAGCCCGCTTGATTGGCACTACATCTACAAGCATTCACTCCGTCCACCACCGACACTCAGTCGCAGCAGTGTGTACTATCTACAACATGCACTGCAGAAATTCACCAAAGATCCCCAGACAGCACCTTCCAAACCCACGACCACTTCCATATGGAAGTACAAGGGCAGCAGATGTATGGGAACACCATCACCTCCAAGTTCCTCTCCAAGTCACTCACCATCCTGATTTGGAAATATATTGCCGTTCCTTCACTGTTGCTGGGTCAAAAACCTGGAATTCCCACCCTAATAGCATTGTGGGTCAACCCACAGCAGGAGGACTGCAGTGGTTCAAGCAGGCAGCTCACTACCACCTTCTCAAGGGCAACTAGGGATGGGCCAGAAATGCTGGCTAGCCAGCGACGCCCACATCCCACAAATGAATAATAAAAAAAAACACGTTATTTGGGAAGCTTGATTTGTTCAATCCTGCCATCAAAGACTGGGCCCAGTACGCGGAAAGAATGAGTTGTTTTCTCAGGGCATGTGACATTGGGGCTGGTGAAAAGCAACCAGTAATTCTCCTGGCAGCTTATGGACCCGCAGCTTTTTGGTTATTTCAAGCCTAACTTTCTGAGGCATCAGATACTAAAACCTTTCAAAAGTTGATTGATTTAGTTAAGGAATATTATGACCCCAAGCCTCTTCTAATTCTGTGACGCTATCGGTTTTACTCGGCAATTGGAGAACCAGGGGAAATCCGTATCGGGATTTTTGACTAGGTTAATATGACTGTCAGAAGCATGTGACTTTGGTTTAACCTTTAATGAGATGCTGAGAGACTGATATAAGGGATCAATGATGTAAACAAGTAAACCACCGCACTACAACTGGCTTTATCATTGGAAAATGTGGTAAGTGGAGCATACAAGTTGCAGGGCATTTGATGGAAGTGGACACCCTCACCAGGCCGACTGAGCTTGGGGAACACCACTTGAGTGAAGACAATTGCATAGCCTCACTCAGGGCATATACTGAACAGAGGGACTCTAGATCAGCGCACAGCAAAACCCCAAAACAAAGTCAAGCCTCAGCCAAATAGTTAAAATTTTTTCAGGATCTGGGTCAGCAAGCCATTACAGTTGCTGCCAGTATGCAGACTCAAGTCAGCAAAAGAGTCCCACGAGACCTTAATTGAGTAAGAGAACTCATAGGCTGGTATCTAGGAGACTGCACACCATGGAAAGTCCACCTTCATCTGCTTTGGAACAGTTAAATTGCTCAGCAATGTTCAAATCAGAAGCAATCAAAATAAAAGTCTAGTAAAATGGTCACCTGGTCCTAATGGAGGTTGATACTGGTGCGGCCATTTTAGTGATCGCAAACCCAGTCTTTACCAAAATTTGATCTGGACTCCAACCCTCAAACTTGCACAAGATCTTGGCTAGACTGAGAAGCTACAACAGGGAACCTTCACAGATTAAGTGTACAACTTCAGTTCCTGTCTCTTATGAGAAGCAGCTGGTTCAGTTAACACTGACTGTAGTAAAAGGCTTGGGCCCAGGCTTGATGGGAGCCAAAATTGTCTGAGTAAGATTTACCTAGACTAACACAACATTTTTTGGTTAGAAAATGGCTGCCTGAGTGAAGACCTAATTAAATACCCAGAAGATTTTCAGGAAGGTCTGGGGACTATTAAAAGAGACAAGGCCACCTTGCATGATGACCAGGAAGCAATTCCACAATTCTGCAAGACTTACCCAGTGCCATTTGCCTTACTTGCAAAGGTAAAGGCAGAAATCAGAAAGCAAAGGAAACGCCAAAACAGTACAATTTGCGGAATAGTCAGCATGAGTCATACTGATTGTGAAACCCAATGGGTCAGTTCACCTTTGTGGGAATTTTAAACAAATGGTAAACCGCTTTTCACAGCAGGATCCCTTGCATAGAGGATTTATATGCAAAGTTGGTAGGGAGCTGTCCTTCATAAAGCTAGACATGAGCCATGCATATGTGCAATTGCAGTTAGATGGGGATTCCCAGAACTATGTTACAATTAATACCCATAAGATTTTGTATCAATATACGAGACTGCAATTTGGGATATCGTCAGCCTGTGCAATTTTTCAGCTGACAATGTAGAACATTTTACAAGGTCTACCCCAGATTGCCATTTATCTTGATTATGTGCTAATCACAGGGAGGAGCAATGAGATGCACTTAAGAGAACATGGACATAGTCCTTTGACATTTCTCCCCAGGTGGACATATGCCTTCAAAGGGAAAGAAATGTGTTCCAGGTACCCCAGCATGGGTTACACCCGTTGGAAAATAAAGTGAGGTCGATCAAAGGTGCCTGCCACCCACGTCAGTACCGGAGCTTAGGCCTTTCCTTGGGGTGGTGAACAGCTATTTTAGCCACGTCAATAGATTCATCAAATTGTTATGAGAAGCATCCACAGTCCTCTAGGTCCTGCTGTATTGCTGAAAGACGTCTTTGGTTAAAGATTCCACTCGTCTTTCTACTGCGGAAGCATCAAATGATATCCTGTGGCTTGTCATCATTATTTCTTCTTTGTTCTTAAAATATTTGAATAAAGATTCAGAAGCCACATACATTGCTTCTACAATTACTTCACCATCAGTAAATGATCAGGGTGTAATCAATCAATGTTTCAGGTGTAATTCAATGTGTTACTATGCTATTAATTGTCCCAAACATGAAAATAAAGTATTCAAAACCAAAAATGAAATTAAGGATTTAGAGGAAGAAGATGGACATAGAGATCAAAGAGGAGGCATTGCATTTGTCAGAAGAAGATTCAGCCCAGTGACAAATATATTGTTGGCCATCTTTCAATTGTGCAGTTTTGGACAGTGGATGCATACCTACTGTCAATGGAATAACTGGCTAAAATACAATGTAGACTGTCTGAGTAAAGAAGATTAGGACAAAGTAAAGGAATTTTAGAGTTCCACCACTTTCGGATTTGGATATGATAATACACTAACCATTTTGAAAAGATTGGTTATTCCTTGTAAAATAGGTAGAATCATTTTTAGCACAGATGAAGTGTCCTATGAAACACCCATTATTAATTAGATCATCAATGAAGAAAGTACGAACAAAACCGGATACGGAAAACACCTGTTGTATTTAGAAAATCTGTGAATCTGAAGTTTACATATTTGGGTCACTGGTATGTTCCTTTAATGGAACATAACATTTCCACTAAAGAAATTGCAGAAAGCTGCATCCAAAAGGGGCATGGGAATACTTGTTCCATAAAACACTGAAAGCTAGCATACAGGTGCAGTAGGTAATCAAGAAGACTAATGGAATGTTGGACCTTATTTCAAGGGGGTTGGAGTCTAAGGGCAGGGAAGTCTTACTGCAACTGGGTAGTTTCTTGAAGGAGTTATAGAAAATAGTAAGGAGCCAGGTACCTCTCATAATCAAATGTTGCACAGCTATGAGGATCGAACTGTCACAATTAACAGCTTGTCTGACAATGGACAGATCTGTTCTGATGGTCAATATGAGGCCATTTGTCTCAAAGGACAACTGCTAAAAGTGGGTCCCTAAGTCAAATATTGACATTTCTCCAATGTGACTATTATTCATTGAACAGAGAAGGCCACTGGAAAATATAATAGCTAGATTATACACGATGAAGATCAGGAAGTATGGCCCATGAATTGGGAACATGAAGTACAAAGATGGAAGGGAAGAAAATGCAGTGTACGGTCAAACAGTGGGTCTAGGAGTGGACATGCCCCTAGAAAGTGATCATGAATGGTTGAAAGTAAGTCCTATTAAAAGGAGGGGAGATCAAACTGCAGCATTCCAGAAAGAGGTAGAAGATAGGACAGAGTGCTTAGTTTAACAAGAACAAGGAAAATAATATAAACCAGGAATACCAACAGGAACAGAAGCCCATGTGATAGGTGTAGTGATTTTAACGATGTCAGCCAGGTGAACCTCATAGAGTACGAGTTCCCTGATTGGGGCTGTTAATATCAGACTGTGGATGCAAAAAATCCAGTCCTGGCAAAACTAAAACAGCTGGTGTGACAGGAGAAACCAAAAAGCCATCACAACCAAAACTGAAACCTTTCTGGACCCAACAAGACCATCACCGTAGAGGATGGTGTTTTATTATGGGGAATAAGAGCGATTATCCCGGACAAAAGTTGCCGCCAGATTCTGGCTGAACTCCACTAGATTCATCCAGGGCTGTCCAAAATGAAGATGTTGGTGAGAAGTTATGTCTGGTGGCCAGGATTGGATACAGACATAGCCTCCCTGGTGGGGCAATGCCCAGCGTGCCAAGAAGGATAAAATGTACTGCCAGCAGCTCCCCCATTCATGGGAATGCTCGGTAAACCCTGGACTCGGTTACACATCAACTATGCAAGGCATTTCATGGGCCCAATGTTCTTAGTCATTGTGGATGCCCACTCAAAGTTGCTGGACATAAAGTTTATTTGTCAAACACGGGGACAACGATTGTAAAACTGTGCGCATGTTTTGCAATACAAGGACTCCCAGAAGTGTTAATCACAGATTACGAGCCATCATTTACCATCAGGGAATTTGATTATTTCCTAAAGCCAAATTGTTCAGGAAGGATTTACAAGGATGTTGCCAGGGTTGGAGGGTTTAAGCTATAGGGAGAGGCTGAATAGGCTGGGGCTATTTTCTCTGGAGCGTCAAAGGCTGAGGGGTGACCTTATAGAAGTTTATAAAATCATAAGGGGCATGGATAGGGTAAATAGACAAGGTCTTTTCCCCAGGGTGGGGGAAGTCAAAAACTAGAGGACGTAGCTTTATGGTGAGAGGAGAAAGATTTAAAAGGCACCTAATGGGCAACTTTTTTATGCAGGAGGGTGGTACGTGTATAGGATAAGTTGCCAGAGGAAGTGGTGGAGGCTGGTACAATTACAACATTTAAAAGGCATCTGGATGGGTATATGAATAGGAAGTGTTTAGAGGGATATGGACCAAATGTGGCAAATGGGACCAGATTTATCTAGGGTATCTGGTTGGCACAGATGAGGTGGACTGAAGGGTCTCTTTCCACGCTATACATCTTTATGACTCAACATGAGGACAGTTCCATACCATCCATCATCCAATGGTCTGGCAGAAAGAGTAATCCAAACTTTGAAGGCAGTCTTAAAGAAACAGCCTACAGCTTCACTTGATACTAAACTGCCCCGGTTCCTATTTAATTATAGGATCACCCCTCATGTAACTACTGGAATGGCTCCAGCAGAGTTGCTGATGGGGAGAAGACACCACACCAGGTTAAATCTGATCTTCCCTGACCTGGGGGTGAGAGTGAAACTACATCAGGAACGCCAATGCTGGACAGAAGACTCCACTGAGAGAGACAATTTACTTCAGGGGATGAAATTTGGCGTGGGAACCATGAGAATGGGCCTGCATGGGTGAGGGGCATGGTAGGTGTGAGGTCAGGTCCAGTGACATATAAAGTTCGAGCAACTGCAACAGTCCTGAACAAGCAGGAGGACCAAATGAAAGCTGCAAAGTCACAAATGTTGCGGGAGCAAAAGGTGCCTGACTCCTTGAAAGCCTTTCCAACTGTTCCAGAACCAGTGGGTCCTCCCTCTCCATCAAGCAATGAAGATACCTTGGAATTGAGGGGGAAGCCTTGTTCCCTTTACGGCCTGAGTAAAAGGAGAGGTACTGTGCATTACACACCGTCTATATCAGAGGCAGAGTTTGAGGAACCTGACCCAGTGCTAAAACACCTCAAGAGGAGCTATGAAAAGAAAGAACCGGCCTATGTCCTCGGACTCAGAAGAGGTGAGATGTAGTGATTGTAACGAGGTCAGTCAGGTGGACCTCATAGAATATGAGTTCCCTGATTGGGGCTGTTAATCTGGTCGAATCAGGGAGTCCTGGTACTGATGTGTCAGACATCCTGTTCTCTCTACCTCTGAGGCAGATGGACCAGTGATAAGGTCTCTCCACCTGTAAATAAAGGGTGCCTTGGTGATAGGATAGCGAACTCTGGGGAGTTATTTCAGTTGGGAAGTCTTAGTGGCCCTGAACAGACTAGAATAAAGTTAATTAAGGATGCCAAACAACAAGAATTACAAACACGCAGAGCTTTTCCAGCAACTTGTAGGTCTGGCAGCATCTGTGATCCGGTGACCCTTCTGTTCCGAGGAAGGGTCGCGGACCCGAGAGGTAAATTCTGATTTTTATTTCTTCACAGATGCTGCCACACTTGCTGAACTTTTCCAGCAACTTCTGGGTTTTTGTTCCTGATTTACAGCACCCGCAATTCTTTCGGGTTTATTTGCAATCCTGGAGGGAATTTGGGGGTGTACACGGAGACGTCTTATTACTGAAGTGTCTATTCCTCTTTCCTGCCAGACCGGCCGATGACTTGCAGCATTTTCAGCCTTTATTTCTGCTGTCCAGCATCAAACCTGTCCCTACCGGGCACCATAACAAGTTGTCACGGTCGTCGAGTCCCCCAGGCTCGGGTCCTGATTGGTTGATTTGCGGTCCCCTGGGCCACGCCTGCGCATTCCCGATACCGGAGAAGGAGTGGATGATGGCGGCGCTGAGGTGCTGCTTGTTTGCGGCTCGGCGAGGCTGTTGCTGTGGCTTTAGGGTCTGTCGCCCCTGCGGCGGGGACACGGTGAGTCCCGGGAAGTGAAGGTGAATTAAAGGGGAGGAGGTGCTGACTGGGGAGTTTGCCAACCGTTGGGCCCAAAACTTGGGAGGTCGGCGCCGGCGATTCAAACGGAGCTCGCGGTCACTTTGAAAGGGGGCGCACGTGACAGTGCTGGCCCCGCCCCAAGTGTCACCGTGACCCTCGGGTTTCTCTTGAATGGTACATGCAACCTAGTCTACCCCGTGTTCCCGCTTGAGTCGCTACCCAATCTCGTTAGCGCTCAAGTTCACCTTTCTGCTTAGGTTTTCAGTGCTCAAAGACTTCCCTGACCTGTTTGTGAAAAGTGCAGTCGGTGCCTCTAGCTGAGCCGGGATGTGTGCTGTCACAGCGATTCTTTTAACTCCTTTGCTGCAAAATAAATTAGGCAGAGATGCCTATTAGACTGCAGATGCTGGAGAATCCGAGACAACAAGATGCAGAGCTGGATGAACACAGCAGGCCAAGCAGCATCATAGGAGCAAAACGGCTGACGTTTCGGGCCTAGACCCTTCATCAGAAAATTTTCTGCTTGGCCTGCTGTGTTCATCCAGCTCTGCACCTTGTTGTCTCAAATAAATTAGGCAAGTCGGTTTAAGCAAAGTGGGAACGACATTATTTACGATTTCAAAGTCCTGATGTGTACGCTTGCCTCATGCCAACTCCCAACTTCCACTCCATTGTGAACTTGAAATTAGGCAAAATCTGGTATTCGAACTCTCATTCCTTTATTGATCAATCTTAACTGTTTGCTGACCTGAATTGGCTTCTGTTTCAGCAAAAATGTAATAATTTCATCTGTGTTAAAATTCCTCAATGGGCTTGCTGCTCTTAATTTTTGTAACCTTATCGGGTAGGCGATGGCCTAGTGGTATTATCGCTAGACTATTAATCCAGAAATCCGGCTGACGTTTTGGGGACCTGGGTTCAAATCCCACCACGGCAGATGGTGGAATTGGAATTATGAATCTACTGATCACCATGAAATCATTGTTGATTGTTGGAAAAACCCATCTGGTTCACTAATGCCCTTCAGGGAAGGAAATCTGCCACCCTCACCTGGTCTGGCCAACATATGACTCCAGACCCACAGCAATGTGGTTGACTGAGTGGCAAGCCGCTCAGATATACCAATCGCTACAGTGACGCAAAGAAATGAAACTGGACGGATCACCAGGCATCGACTTAGGCGCTGGAAAAGACAACGGCAGAAACAGCCCTGTCGGCCATGCAAAGTCCTCCTCACTAACAGGTGGGGGTTAGTGCCAAAATTGCCAGGCTATGACCATCACCAAGAAGAGACAATCTAACCATCGCCCCTTGACATTCAATGGTGTTACAATCACTGTATCCCCCACTATCAACATCCTGGGGATTACCATTGACCAGAAACTCAACTGGACTCACCACATTAACAGAGTAGCTACAAGAGCAGGCCAGAAGCTGGGAATATTGCAGTGAGTAACTCACCTCCTGACTCCTCAAAGCCTGACCACCATCTACAAGCCACAAGTCAGGAGTGTGATGGAATACTCACCACTTGCCTGGATGAGTGCAGCCCCAACAATACTCAAGAAGCTTGACACCATTCAGGACAAAGCAGTCTGCTTGATTGGCACCACATCCACAAGCATTCTCTCCCGCACCACTGACGCTCAGTAGCAGCAGTGTGTACTATCTACAAGATGCACTGCAGAAATTCACCAAAGATCGTCAGACAGCACCTTCCAAACCCACGATCACTTCCATCTAGAAGGACAAGGGGAGCAGATATATGGGAACACCAACACCTCCAAGTTCCCCTCCAAGTCAATCACCATCCTGACTTGGAAATATGTCGCCATTCCTTCACTGTCGCTGGGTCAAAATCCTGGAATTCCCTCCCTAATAGCATTGTGGGTCAACCCACAGCAGGAGGACTGCAGCGGTTCAAGCAGGCAGCTCACCACCACCTTCTCAAGGGCAAGAAATGCTGGCCAGCCAGCGATCCCCACATCTGAATAAAAAAAATCCAGTCATACAACTCTTGAGAACTGTTCTTTGAACTCTTATCTCTTTCACATCCCCATCTCCTCAGTTGCTTTACTGCACCATTACTGACCATTCCTTCTGTTGCCTAGGCCTAAAGATTTTGAATTTCTTGCCTACTCAAGTCTCTTCTTGAAATTTTAATACGAATGAATACGGGAGAAATGTTTTCTCTTGTGAAGAATAAATGGAAGCCAACAATGTAATAGTCACCAAGAAATCCTGTCATGAATTTATAAGAAACTACCTCACAGATAGGATGGTGACAGCCATATGGCAGCCACTACCATATAGAGTTATTGAAATGAGTAGCACAAATGTTTGAAGGGGAAGTCAGACAAACACGAAGTGGACAGAGGATTACAATGGTAGATTTCAATGAGGAAAGATAGGAGGAGGCTTGAGTGGAACATGAACAGTGGCACAAGCTGGTTGGACCAAATGGAGATCCTAAGAACTGCGGGCACTGAAGATCTGAAACAAAAACAAATTGCTGGAGAAACTCAGCAGGTCTGGAAAAGTTTGCAGAAAAAAAATCTTTTTCAGATGTCAGAGCAAAACACTGAGTGCTGGAAAGATGAAATCTAAAATTGCTGGAACTACATAGCAGTCTGGCAGCATCTCTGGAGAAAAATGGAGTGGATGACCTGGATTTTACATTCAGCGCTAAATGAAGGCTGCTGAATTCTAACAAAGAAACTGAGAAAATCCTGCGATCTCTGTGGGGTTGTTTTGCTATTTTATCTTGACTCCCCACTGGTACCTCCACATCATATTTTATCATGGCACTTTAAATCTCGTGCCAGGTCATAGGGTTGATTTGGTGTGCAGCGGTGGTGATGTCGGTGGACAGGTAGGCAACCAATCAAGCTGAATTATTCACACAACAAATTGTGGATTTCTGCATTGATCTGGATTTCTGAGGTTGTTTTCAGTTTAAATGGAGTAATGATATAAACATTGGCTTTCACAAATATGACCAGAGTAAAATTCAAACCAATATTTCAGGTTGATGACCTTTCACCTGAACTCAAGTTTTTGTGAAACTTCATCACCCTGAAACATGAACACTGTTTCACTGTCCACAGGTGCTGCGAGACCTGCTGAGTTTTCCCAGCAATTTTTTAAAATGTCAGGTTCTAGATTCAAAATTTATAACAAATTGCTCTTGCTCAAAAGGTGTGTACATAATATATCAATTTGTCATTTAACTTAGCAAGAAAAATGACCAGACCAAACCATACATTCCAAAGGTTTGTCTTCAAGATTTAACATTTTATATTTTTTATTGTTACAAAGATGAAATTACAGAGGTTTATTTTTGCTCTCTAAAATAAGCCTCTGTAATTTCATCTTTGTAACAATAAAAAATATAAACTGTTCAATTTTGAAAACAAAACTTTGGAATGTATGGTTTGGTCATTTTTCTTGCTAAATTAAACTCAATATAATTCCAGTGCCAGCCAGGGTTAAGATTTAAGGTTTAGGATTTATTTGCACATCAAAAGAAAATTACTAGAGTAGTTGAAAATGGTAGGTGGTCAGCATTTCCCTCGGTTGCCATCAACTATTAATTTTGAGTCGATTGCAGCCTTGTGAAAAGTGGTATTGGGAGGTTGACTTTTCTCTTTTTTTTTAAACTCTGGAATGGAGCATTATGGAGGCAGCTCTTGAAAATCACTTGCAAATGCTTTGTCATGAAAGAACAACAGACAAGTTTGTTAAATATCTTTTACATGTATGTAGTACTTAGGTGAGACTGCTGCAAAGACCTTCAAAGTCCTTTGAGCTGTAGGCTGTCCTCACTAATGAAACATTGATCCAGTTATTAATATGTTGCTGTTTTTATTCTTTCATGAGATGTGGGTGCTGCAGGCAAGGCCAGTATTTGTTGCCCATCCGTATAATTCCCTTTGATTTGAGTGGCTTGCTAGATACTTTCAGAAGGCATTTAAGGATCATGCACATTGCTGTGGGTCTCTGACATTTTTCCTTTCCTAAAGAACTTCTTTGTGAAACAGAGGTTTTCAGGACAATCAATCATTCTAATGGGCATCATTACTGAGACTATTTTTATATTCCACAATTATTGATTGAATTTTAAATTCCACCAGCTATCGTGATGCCACTTGAACCTGTGTCCCCAGAGCATTTGCCTGGGCTTTTAGATTATTAGTCCAGTCCACTACACCACCATCTCCCCATAATTTATCTTCAATTGGAATTTTTAGTTAATAGAAGTTATGAATGATTTTAATTCACCTGTAAGATTTATTTCTTTTAAATTCTTTAGGTGTTTGGCATGGCTTCTGGCTTGCTTTCAGTCCATGGTATACAAAACATTCAGCGACAGCAGAGGAACCTTTCCTTGCATGAATACATAAGTATTGGATTGCTAAAGAATGCCGGCATCTCTGTACCTAATGGGAAAGCTGTTTCGACACCAGATGAAGCATATTTTGCCGCCAAAGCAATTGGTATGATGGCAATTAAATTGAAATTACTTTATTACTTGTGAATTAAAACAATGAGAATTTTAGATTCATTTTTACCTCAAATGTGAATGAAGTCTGACAACAGCCATAAAGTCAATATTGTGATGGAAAATGAATAATCTTGACAGGACAATAATTCATGGCTGTAGTTTGTTTAGGGATGAGCTCTTAGTAACTGAAAATTAATGATAAACAAGCTTTTCAGTTTGGGAAGATACAGAAGTAAAGGATGAAGATAGATGCCTTAATCACAACTTTTCTTTGTTCCCAACCTTTCTGTGAGGCTTTCTTAACCTTTAGTTATTAGTTTTAATGAAATCTAAATGCCAAAAATATTGGCATGGCCATTATCTATAAAGATGCTGCCTGAGCTTTGTAGATCCTGCACTTTTTTTGGGAACTTGATAGGGCATATCTGTTTCATGAGTTTCTTTAAATGGTAAGTTCCTGAATACATCTGATTCCTTTAAACTAGAGTGAAAGACAAGCAGGTTTGTGCACTACAACAGCAAGCAATGATATCATCAGACAAGAAAAACCCAAAAAACTGCAGATGCTGGAAATCTGAAACAAAAACAGAAATTGCTGTAAAATCTCAGCGGGTCTGGTAGCATCTGTGGACAGAAATCAGAGTTAACATTTCAGGTCCAGTGACCCATCTTCAGAACTGATAGCAGCTTGGAAAAGGACATTTTTCTTTTAAACAGAAGATGGGGTAGGGAGGGGTAGAGTAAATGATAGGTGCAGATAGAGCATTAGAAAGAGAAAAGCAGTTGGACATATAAAATAGTAGTTAAAAATCAGTCTTGGGGCATGAATAGCTGCTAATGGGGACTGTTACTGGCTGACAATGGGTTGTGTGTGGTAGCAGCCCATGTGATGACAAGGCCTGGTGCAGAGATGGGGGGAAAGCATGGGAAGAGGTGCTGAAGCCCTAAAATTGCTGAACTCGATATTAAATCCAGAAGGTTACAGTGTTCCCAAGTGGAAATGAGATGTTCTTCCACCTTGCGCTGAACTTCACTGGAGCACTGCAGCCAGCCTGAGACAGAGATGTTGGCCAAAGAACAAGGCGATGTGTTGAAGTAACAAGCAATTGGAATGTAAGTATTCTGCGAAGCGGTCGCCAAGTCTGTGCTTTGTTTCCCCAGTGTAGAGGAGACCACATAGGCAGTGTTCCGCAAGATCACTTTGATGTGATATATTTTTGTGTATTTCTTACTGAGGTGAACAAAAAGCTAGTTCCCTATTTTGCCTAGTGAATGGGCCAAAGGCTGTCATGTTTGGACCTGAAAAGTGCTCCGTATACTTCAATACCCTGGAAAGGACAAGCATCTCAGGTTAAGCAAGTCATTCCACCCTTCTGCATACTGGCTACGTATAGTTTCCAATAACAGGATGCTGCCATCAGTACAAAACAACGCAATTGAACAACATAGTTATGAATTTCAGTGCAAAGCGAGTGGCCTAATACCTACACTAAAAAACGATTTAATATAAATCAATCAATTTTGTAACATAGTTCATTTTTTCTCCATAGAAACAACAAACCTTCATATGCAGGGACCTGTTGACTGCAAACAAAAGGAATATTTTAAAATCTTGCACCTTTTTTGAACGGTCGAGGAGCTTGGAGAGTCTATAGTCCCCACTTTTCTCTTTGGTAATACCTTGGTCAAATAGAGTCAAGTTGCCAACCAGTCAGCACCCTTTTCTCCTGTTGTATAAATTCCTGCGATAATTAGAAATTTGGTATTCTAAAATTTGTCCTGATGAGTGGAAGGAGAAAAGCTTTGGCAAACGTTTCTCTCTTCATCAATATATAATATAGTTTTCTGCTAACCCTTTTTTATACATTATTGCTGACTCCCATACCAGAGGAAATAACTTTTCTACACAAAATGTTGAAATTCTTAACTTGGTGTTCAAGCCAGTATTCTGTCCTTATCCAATATCTCACCACCTCATCTTGTATTTACTGTTTGTGGAAGCTTGCTGGACTAAAATTAGCTGTGTAACATTTCAAGTGTAATCCATTGATCGTAGAGGGCTTTGGCATATCTTGAAGATGTGAGAAGTTACGATATAAATGAAAGCTCTTACCTGCTTCACTATATTTTAGACAAAATAGATCAGCATTTTACTCCACACCATGTGTGTTCAGTATGTTTTCGACATGTAGAATAAATCACTTAATTTTAAAAATGATGACTTCTAGTCATCATTATTTTGAATTTGCATATAGTTTGCTTGTAGTGCAGTTGCAGCTATAACAGTGAAATCATGTGGTTGGTGTGAATGACCTTGCATTTTATTTGCTGTTGATATTACAGGCCATTCATCTAATCCCAATGAACATAAAGTGTGATTAAAAAATAGGTTTTAGATTAATGTGTACTTTGCATGTTACAGCTATCCCAGTGATATTATGTACTGTCTAACATGTTTAATTTTATTGCAGTGAAGGGTAAGCATCTTAAAAAGTTAGAACTTGGCTGACACTTGACAGAAAAAGGACTCGACTTAGTGGTAGCAATTTTTTTGTTGAGCCAGAAGAATGTGGCATCCATTCCAGAGACTGGCAAATGTAATCATACCCAAGAAGTATGCGGTATTGAATAGGTCCTGTCTTTCAAATGAGATGTTAAACTGAAGCCCTGTCTGCTTCCTCAGGTGGATGTACAAGATCTCGTGCTACTTCTTGAAGAGCAGGGAAGTCTTGCAGGTTTCAAGGCAACATTCATCTGTCAACGAACGCCATGAGAAATATCAATTATTTGGCCAGTGATCTCACTTATGGGATCTTGCTGTCCACAGATTGGCTGCCTTGTTTCCCTCCATTGCAACAGTGACTACACTTCAGTTGTTTATGAAGTGCCTTGCAATGACCTCAGGCAGTGAAATCTGTTGTATTTTACAAACCCAACTGACCTGTGTTATTTCCAACTTAATGTGGTTTATTTTTGATTTCTGCCACTATGCAATTATATTTGTACACCGTTGATTGTGCTAGGTTTATTATGATGTTGAATTCTTGTAATTTGTGAATTTTCAAAATAAAAGTTGACTTGAAGTCACAAGTAGGGGTATTGGCGGGACTTTATGTACAATAATTGTCCAGTGGCAAAATTTCTTTTGATCACACATCAAGATGCACAAGCGATGCTCCGTAACTTTTTTTTGGTGCATGGACCTCCGAGGTCTGTGAGGTAGTGAACTCTAAAACTGGAAGTCAATGCATTCACATGCCAATTGGCGTGGAAGCTCCGAGCGGCTGCGCAGCCTAAAGGAAATGTTGTACATTGGATTCAACTTGTGTTAAAATTTCTATCCTGCTGCAGCTACAGCTACTCCAGTTAGGAAATCTGTCCTGCTATGTCATGACTAACTATGAAGCTTATACAGTGAGATCCCAGACTCTTCACGGGTGACTTGTCACTTGTTTTACTATGCATATGACTGTACTGTGTCTGTCACGCACCTCGCTGGTCTGTGTCTTTTTGCCATTGCCCTGCTTACTAGTTATGATCATATGCACATTTAGTGTTCCCAGTCTTCTTGAACTTGGTGGGGCGTCTTCCCTTCCCCCACATCAGCTGATGCTATGGCCCCGCATTTAGTCTTATATGACTGTTTAGTCAAGAACCTGGAATGTGCACACCAGTGGCCATAATCAGCTACTTGGAGCCAGAAGTGGAACACTTGCTCCCTCTCCCCACTCTTCTTGATGTTGATGCATGGCTTGGCAGGGGATCAAGTGCAACACCCCGTACAAACGTTTCCCATGTATAAAATTTTAACTTCCTGGAGTTTTGTTAATCAACTTGTTTGAGTATTATATAATACAGCTCCATGGCCATCACATCCTCAGGTGGGACTTGAGCACTTAACTTCTGCCCTAGAGGTAGGGACACTACTATTGACCCATAAGATTATAAGATGAAGTTTTATTTGATTGAACAATTATAATGGTATAATTATGATTTAACGTCACAATATAGTTTTAAATGTTGGCGGTTTAGGAGATGACATTTTGGTACTGCTTTTTACTAGAAATTATGAACAAACTCTCAAGAAACTCAGTTGGGGAAATTATTCTCTAAATAAGTATTACTTGTGGGTGCAGGGTTATTTCTCTCCTGGCCTGCCTTTCAGTTGTGGGTTAGTTTAAGTAGTGGCTACTTAAAATCAAATTTTGATTGTTCTTCAGTTGCGATGCATTGACACGAGGTATGATTACTATAGCTTGTTCAGTCTCTAATGGGCATATGGATGGTTAATACCAATGATTTTCACCTGGATCAGACCGTGAGGGTCAGTTGGCTGGATGGCTGGTTCGATTCCCGCACCAGCTGAGGTTACTGTGGAGATCTCTTTGTCTCAGCCTTCCTCTCGCCATGAGGCATGGTGACTCAGGCTAAACCACCAGCACAATGAGAAAGCAGCCCTATGGTCCTCTGGAAGTATAGTGACTTTACTTATAAGACTGTACCAATGAACTTACTGTTTTAGTGCTTGGTGGCTTTTAATTGTCTGTCAGTGTTTTGGAGGACTGCTTACTTGGTTGATTCAGAGAAGGCCGCATTCTACATGGAATCGTGTGGCTATTTTTTCAATATGGTTACTTGACTGTTAGGTGTCAGAGAAAATGGTTGGCCGAAATTATTGCTTCATTTCCCAGGGATAATAAGGGGTAGGTAGATTTGTCCATTGTAGAGTTATTGACATTTTTGGAAGGTTATATTATGTTCTTCAGATGTTTAATGTTTAGAGTCTTTAGGGGTTTTTTTAAGTTGACAGATGTCAGATGAAAATTTTGATTTGAAACCGATATGAAACCCTAGATTGAATGTTCAATTTAGGGATGCGTATTAATTCTTCTCAGGATGATAGTGGAAGGATTTTCAATAGATCCTGTCCTTGATAAATCTTGGCCTGATGGAGATTTTGATGCTCAGTGGTTATTTATTTCCGAGCAAACTTCTTCCCT